CCACCCCCCACCCGGCGGATCGCTTGTATGGTAACAGGCATCGCTGCCTGTTTTTAAATAACGGCAGTTTCCCACGCGCGCGCGAGATCTAGAGAGCTCCCGGCCAGCCGTTTTTTCACTACGGCCGGCCCGGAGGCAGTTAAGGAAGGATTAAAAAAGGATTACAAAGTGCCATACAAGTGCAAATACAACCTATCACTTAACAACTATAAGATCTAGGACGTAAGATTCAGTATGTTGTAAATGCAGATAGGATATAGTAAAGTAACATTTTTACATATATACTGTACCTCATTTCAAGGGCAGTCTGTTCAAGGGATTCCCCATCACAATTCCAGACACTGTTCACCTGATTGCAGCCACAAGATGGGTGATCTGTGCAGATCTGAGGAAAGTTCTTTTTCCCAATGTTTCCCAAATCAGTGCTCTCAGCATCATCATCTTCAGAATGTTTAGGAGTAAACTGAAAAGTCTTTATCCGATAGACTTCAACAAATGGAAAATCAAACTAAGAAAAAAAAAAAAAAGGAGAGAGAATGAACATGTTTACTTTAAGACTACACAATGTTATAGTCAATCTAATGGCAAGGAAAACAGCGCTATAATTAATGCATGCATATCAGAGATTATTACTCAAAAGCAAAAGGAGCCATACAGTTTAAAAAAAAAAAAAAGCTGAATTGGCTATTTGCTACTGATATGGTGAAGCATCATTCTATATTTCAGACATTGAAAACTTTTTAGAACTGAACAGTGCATGATCCAAGTGTAAGCTATCAAAGCCTCCTGTTCAGGGAGTTAACTATATGTAATAGGGCCCCATAGCAAAACAATTACAAGGCCATTGCCTTTCTACCCTTTATTTTGCAAGCAATCCCTTTATGGTTAGATAATTCGGTTTCAAAACATTCCAAGTAGTAAACTTTACTTTTGAGATCAATACCTGATCACTATTGCTTTTTGTGTGCCTGATAAGGTGCCGTAGGAAATTTATCCTTGAGCATTTACGGACTAAAATGAGATCTGCAGTCCCATCTGCCAAGTGAGCTGCTGGTGAGAGACCCTTCGGGCTGCGAGGACAAGCACAGCTCATGATGGCTGCGTTAATTGCCATGAATTTTCCTTTGACAGTTTTCCAGTTCTCTTGTTCTAAAAGAAAATAACATGGCAGAATGTAAAGTAGAATGAGACATTACTTTTCATATTGACTAAGCACAGTCTGTTGGTATTCGCAACAGTTTTTAAAACACATAGGCAGATGCTTTAAATCAACAATTTTTAAGAAAATCACTTTGGTGACAAGTGGAATTCTTTTATTCATTGGCGTTGATTTACTAAAAGGAGAGAGACTGTTGACTTAGTAAAGAGAATATGCAGGTTAAGCTGCGTTCTCCTCGATCATCCAATCATTTGCGAAGATGTTTTATTTTCTCCTTGCACATCATCATAATCATCATCAGGCATTCAAATCAAACACAACTTTACCTTATTTAGGAAGTTAAATGAACATTTATCTGCTACCACATTAGTAAATCAACCCACTGTGTCACAAAGAAATGAATGCCAAATCCTTAAAGTGTATTTCCCCCTTTGCAGCCAAACTGTGATAACACCAACTTTATACTTGTTATAACATTCCACTGACATTGCATACATATCAAAATTAAAGAATTGCTGCTTAAATTTTTAAGTGCCTTTTACTTGCTAAAAAAATCCTACCTGGCTTGGCCCCATGTAATGTAAAAGTGGTGAGTGTGTGTGCGCGTGTTCTAATTAACCCTGTTAGTACTGGGCTGGCCGATTTAATTATCAGGAATACAACACGATCAATCATACATTCATAGCATATACACTATTAAAGGGTATGAATTTATGATCAATGATGTTGTTATATTGCTGATTAAGGGAAAAAATGTTATATATCTGGATTAATACTAATTTTATTGGTATAATATTTATATAACTTATTGATGTGTGATATTTTTGGTAGGTAGGGGGTATTGTGTTTTATTTAGCGCAGTGAAATTTTTTTTTTTTTTTTTTGAGGTGGTTAATATCACTTTATGCACAGCAGCTTAGTCAGTTCTAAATTGATTAGCTTAGATAGGGGCACCGGCGGATTTGTGAATTTGCAGATTTCATTACCAGTTTTAAACTAGATTACCTACTATAGCTTTATTAAGGAGTAATATGTGGCATTGGCCAATTCCATTACAGTTACAGAGTACAAAGAAAAAAAAAATAGAGAAAAGTAATAGTTACTCTAATTCCAGTATTTAGGCCAATATTAAAGATTAAGTATTTAAGAAAAACATATTTATCATACATATCATTACATTACATGACAAAACTAGATTTAAGCACCATCTGTACTAACAAAGGGTTAAAGACTTAGAAGCATTATAGGATAATGAGAGGAATCATGCAGTCTGTCCATCAGTTTTTCCCTCTACTTTCCCCTTCAAACGGCTCAGAGTGGCCTTGAATCTGCACCGAGGCCTTCACCAAAGAAACAGCTAAAATTTATTTTCAAAAACTATGTTTCGTTATTCTGCGTAAATAGGAACACAAAACATTGTGGGGTTTTCTCAAATTTGCAAGCAGAAGTGAAAATACACTTAAAAGTGCTTTGTGCGCCTGGAAATTTGCAGATTTGGCACCAAGGACATAAATCAAGACAACCCTTTTCCAATTAATTAGAAAAAATGACAAGTCACACGGAGCCCTTTACAGCACAAGAAAACCTGAAGTGATCTCTGAGAGGGAGAGATAAGGGTGGGGGTGAGAGCAGGGAAACAAGCCCCATATTTAGTTCATCAAACTCCAGACAGGCAGGCTTCGGGTCAAACAGTCTATATTTGGCCAGTGTGCCTGCTCAAACCCCACGCTAGTTATAGCAGCCGGCCAGGGATCTGTCAATTAGGAAGAAAGTAGCAGTAATTCTTTGTGTCAACATCATGGGACTTCGGGTCATTGTAATTGACGTAGATCTAAATCAAAGGACTACATGAATTAAGTTGAATTTACATTGGGTGACATATGTTCAATAAAGCACTTTAGATTGTGGGTGTATTTATTTATGCAGCTTGGGTGGCCAGAAAAGTGAGGGGATAGGGAGCATGGGCCCCCGCCCACGGTTGAAAGCATGTTGCCTGGCATGGTTGGATGAATGGAGGAGGGATGCCAAGAGGACATGACCCTTCCCTTTTTCATCAAATCGCTTGCAAATTAGGAGGGAGATGGAGACACACATTGAGGGTTAGAGAAAACACATTCCTTGCACAGCAGCAGAAATTTCAATGTGGATATGAAGAGGAAAGCCAACAAAAAAATACAAGTTTGTGTTCATATACATCAGCTACATGTGCCTGCTTCATATATATATATACTCTGTGCACATTGCTGGCATGTTTAAAAATACATCTGCAAAAGGTGGAAATAAGCTTTAAATCCGTTCCATCCCAGGTGAATCCAAACAAAAAATTGTTCAATTTTTGAACTGTGAACTGTGAATTTTTGAAGCTGTGAACAAGAATTCAATTAAGAAATTGTTCAATGTCTTAATGTCTTGTTTTCTAACGCAGCCACAGAGTAGAAGAGTGCACCCCTACTGTCTCCTACCACCAGCTGCAGATTGGGACCTTTTGCTTTCTTTGTAGAGGCTGTGGTCTCATTGCACAAGTCCAACACACCCCCTACCGAGTCAGACATATAGTCCTGAAATCAGCAAACCCCATGCTTCCCACTGATTGTTGCAATCTGACTTAGCTTGGAGCATTTCAGACCCCTGCAAGGAGTTCATTGCTTCCCCACATAGCAAAGGTCCCACTCTGGAGGATGCTGGCAGCACATAGGCTTTTCAAGCTGTTGTTGATTTGCAAGGAAAAAAAAATGAAGACTTTGTACACCTGGAATGCATTTAGTTAAACTGAAAGTTCAGTTGGGTGTTAACACACTAGGTAGTTTGTAATTACATTGAAATACATTTGAGTACAAAATGTTTGTACATGGAATAATGACCTTATTTTTCCAATAAATGTACTACTTAACTACAATTTGTAATTAACAGGCAGTTTATTTAAAAAGTATATAAGTCTTATTTAGGATACTGCCTCCTTATTTCATAATACATGCTGCAACAATTTCAATAGAGCAAGCTACTGCATTGACATATGCCCGAGCACTAATTAACTTCCTTATTGAAGCATTGAATCAAAGTAATCACTACAGTGAAAGAAATAGGGTCCTGGTTACGTTCTGCTTACCTAAAACAAAAAAGATAATGACAGGAAAAAAGGCAGCCAGGCAAAAGAATGACATTCACAGCTGATTGAATTCTTGTTCACAGCTGATTTGATGGGCTAAAAGAGTACAGATCCATGTCCAGTCAAAAGTACTACATTCATATCTATCCTCAGGTCAGTGAAAACTTGGTCATTCAACATGTGTTTACAGACTATGTCAGTGTGAATCACTAGAAGTATTAAACCACTCGGTCCAAACCATGCATGGAAAGACTTGAAGAAATCAACTGGCATTCTGTATCAGAAAATGTTTTTGTCCTTTGTACAGAAACAGAATGTTTGACTGCTGTACACTGTCAATCCCTAAAGTTTTTACAAATGATTGCTATTTTGCCATTGCATAATCTATTCTTTCATAATAATATAACATACAAAGCTCACCAGTTTACACAAAACACAGAATCCTGCAGCTATTGATACTTAGCATTGTTGTTTAAGGGCCGGTTCACACCATAAAAAGTGTGTTCCCGAGCGTTCGGCCCCTGGAATGCACTGGAACGCATGCCGGCCGGCTCCCTGCGTTCAGGGTCGGGAGGGGGCATGGTGGTGCATTGAAGTCAATGGCATCGCAGCCACGCCCCCTGCAGTGCGATCACCGGCACCTGAATGCGTGGAACATTAGTGCTTGCAATCCGGTCCAGTGCGATCTGCAAAAATAGTACTTGCCGCATTTTTGCAGATCGCACTGGACCTGAACACAGGAACCAATGTGCCACGCATTCGGGTGCCGGCGATTGCACTGCGGGCGGGTGGCTTGGCTGCGGTGCCATTGACTTCCATGCACCGCCACACCCCCCTCCCATCCCTGAACGCAGGGAGCACGACAGGTTGTGTTCCAGAGGCTGAACGCTCTGGAACGCACTCTATGTTGTGAACCGGCCCTAAGTTAGCAATGAATATGAGGCCTTGAACACACAGAATTAAGTTTGTAAAAGAGTAATGTGTATAGCGAGCCTTTAAAGCTTTCGAAGACATATCGGCACAACCTACAAAGTGCATGTAGCACTTGTTTCTGTTCTGATCCGTGCATTTTTATTTCCATTTGTGCTGTAGCTCAACCCCAGGCTGATGCCCAAATTATGGAAATTCCTATGGGGGGGTGGGGGCGGGCTATAGCACAGCACTAAATCACACAGCCCGACAGCGCTAACTGATCATTTACTATTTTGCATGAACAGTCAGCACTGTGTGATCTGTCTGCTAGCAAACATACATGGAACCAGCAGATGCATCACATAGTCCCGCCAGGCTGACTGTTCGTTCACAACAGTAAACAATCATTCAGCGCTGTTGGGCAGTGTGATCTGTCAATGTTGTAAATATTTACTAGCAGCCAGCAGAAAGATCACACTGCCCCACAGCACAGACTGTTTGCTATTGCGAATGAAAAGTCAGCACTGGTGGGGCTGCGAGATAGATATGCCGATACCATGCCGGCAGATCTTTCACACAGCCCCACATTGCAGACTGTTCATTCACAACAGCTAGTGATCAGTCAGCTCTGAGAGGCTGTATGATCTATCTTCCAGCTGCTAATAAACATACATGGCACTGGCAGACAGATCACACAGCTCCGTAGCGCTGACTGCTACTAGTGAATCAACCTTGAGTTCTAGTTTGAGGATGCCATACATGTATCGTAAAAGGAATATAGGCTTTAAAACAAGCTGCTAGCAAGAAGGAAGTCGGGAAGAATGTAATAAGTGGCTGTGCAACCTAGTGAGTGTGATCTTGCTGAATTAGTGAGGCGAGTAGGAGAGTATAAGGTTGGTTGGTGATATAAATGTAAACTCTTCTACAAAGCTGCTCAATGCATTTACAGCTGCAAGTCTCTTGGGGTACGTC